GGCAAAGCGCAACGTCAAGCCAGCAGGGAGTCGACCAACCGGAGCCGCAACAAGAAGTAAGGCAAAAACAAAAAAAAAAACAAAAAAAATGGAAGAAGAAACTGCCAACAAGTGGCAAGCAATGAAGCACAAGGTAAGCGCAAGTAATGCGGCGTTGAGTTTAGCTTTCATTTACTGCGCCTCGGCCAAGGCTACCGGCAATTGTGGTTAATTTCGCACAAAGAAAAAGAGGAAAAGGAAAAAAAGGAGTGCAAGAAAGAAAGAAAGAAAGAAGGCAAAGTGCTGCTGTGCCATGATCTGTTGCTATTGTTGGCTCAAATAGGTAGCGCGTTCTAAGCAAACAGTAACTGGGAGGGACGGCAGACGGCCGGTGGACAATCGATTGACCAGCTCGCTGGCACTGACTGTCGGTTGTCAAGATGCGCCGTTGAAGATGATGTTGCTGATGCTGAGCAGACTACGACGACGACAACAGCTCGCCGCAGCACTTCATCAATTTTTATGACTTTTTTAAATGCCTCGCTGCTGCAAACACGCCAAAGTGCTTAATAGCAACAACAGCAATGAGAGCAGCAGCAGGAACGGAAGAAAAACAGGCAGTTTAAAGCCCTATAATATGTTCCAGAAGTAAAACAAAGTGGCGAATAAACAGCCTACAGCAAGTTTAGTTTTTAAACAAAAGGCAATGGCATCTTTTATTATCCTTTTTTCTTCTTCTTCTTCGTTTTGTTAATTGCGAAAATCAGCAGCACTGTGACGAGTATGGTTTTAAAAATTTCCCAGTTGAGTTCTGCCATTAAACGGTCTGACGGCATGCGAGGCAGTCAGGGAAATGTATGAAATGGAAAAGCGGAAGTCAAAAATGAGTTTCCCACGGTATTTAAAGCCTAACGATGGTTCGATGGTTCAGGAAAGCCGCTTGAAGGACAGTTAGCAAAGTGGTAAAGAAGAGCTTTCGATCGGTCTTAGTCCCTTAGCATGGCAGCTGGATCGCACAACACATACCGTTTCACAGATTGCCCAACAAGCTGCGAGGTTCGGTACTTTCTCGTTATAATAAAAGCACACAGCACCCATGGCTGTTTTTCAAGGGCTCAATATAAAACAAGATAGTGATCTGAGTCGATGTTAGGACCCCGGAGTGTATGCACGTCAAGAACACTGGAGACATGTCTTCCGTCTATCATAACATGATCGATCTGGTTTTGTGTGTTTTCGATCTTGGAGACAGCCAGGTAGTTCGGGGAATTTTCTTGTACTGTAATCTAGTATTAAAGACAACCATATTTTGGGCGTCGACAAAATCAATTAGCCTCAACCCATTGGGGATGTTTCGTCGTGAAGACTGAATTCACCGACAATTGAGCCGAAGACACCTTCTTTGGCCACCCTGTCGTTGAAGTCGCCAAGCGCAATTTTGACATCTTGGCGGTGGGCAGCGCTCATAAAAGGCATCCCTGGACACATAGTCTTTCTCTTTCGTCGGGGTTGTGTGTTAAACAATTTAATTTTAATGCGAGACGTTCATCCACCGAGGTGAATGCTAGTACTCGACGAGGGAGTTTCACCCCCACCACAAATCCGACACCGAATTCGCGCACCTTTATATGGCCGCTGTATCATACTTCACCTTATTAAACCCTTGCCTCGTCCATCGCACTTCTTGGACGGCGGTGATGTCAGTGCCTTTAATCTTATTAAGCCGCTGGGCAGCGGCACCTTCCCAATTGAGGGACCGGACGTTCCAGCTGCATGCCCTGAAACTGTCCGAGGTTTACTTATTTACTTGATGCCGAAACTCTAAGCACAACCGCATGTTATTCGCCTTTGTGGGCTATACAGAGCACATTTGGTCTAAGACCGGAAGTCACCACTGGCCACTTTCAGGTTAATGGTGCTCAAAAACTTTTCTCACTTGCGTGAACTATTACACATGGCCCCATCGTCCCAAATCTCATTATGTTACAATATTGTCGTCTCAATACCGAAAGTAGCTTAAAACCCACGCGGCAGCTCAAAATGGCGTTAGTCAAAGACAAGCCAGACGCTGGGTCCCAAAAAACAGACTGTCATTTGAAGACAAATCAAACCAAAAAACCACCAACAAAAGTGAACACGAAGGAGGAAGCAATGAAATTGGTCAACAAAGAACACTTCAGGCATGCGAAGGCAAAAAGCGCCAAAGCATTGTGAAGGCGATGGCGGCGGCGACTGTGTGAAAGCATAAACAATTGGTTAAGGGGACGAATAAGAAGGACAAGAACAACAAACTACGCCACTTTCAAACACTAAAGAATAATGACAGTCCATTAACGATGCACGCCCCGATATGCAGTAACGCGTCTCACACGCCCCTACTTCCGCGACGCGCTCAGCCGGAGTGGAGCAGCACATACATGCAAATGTATGTACGTATGTACATATCAGTCAGAAGATCTGCCACATCAGTCGGAATCAACAAAATATAATCGCAGCATCGCAACAACAACAAGCAAGAACACAACAAAAGTGAATTGGAACAATCCGAACGAAGCAATTTGATGGGCAGCGTACAATAAAGGAAAGGTGAAGTTTGCAAAAACTCGGTAGCAAAATGAGTACGAGCGGCATGCGGCGTGCGGCGAAAGAGCCGAATGCCGGAGTTCGACCTAGCTCAGACGTAAATGCAAAAAACGCACGTTAATAACATTGAATGTAGTCCGACTGTCAGCTGCCGGCGAATAGCGCGCATAGCAATTTTTCAGCGCAAAAACAACAAAAACACACTTCATATCATCAGCCATCAGCGCTTTTGTGACGCGTATCAAAAGCGTTGAATGATGATCACAACGTGCTGCCATCAGCAGATATCGAATGCCGATCGTCGAAGACGCCGCCACTGCCCTACGTCGCCGCGCCAAATGGATGTGTGCGCCAAGCGAAAACAAAGAAAACTGAAAGCAAAAATGCCAATAATAGTGCTTGTGTGTGTGTACATATATATGTATGTGCAGACAGTGCATAAAACCTTCGCCTGCCCGCAACGCGCATTTATGGTGTCACTCAGACTGCCACATCTGCGCTTGGATCGAATGCTGTTGCGCTCTAATTTCAAAAAGGAATGGCTGCACGTCGCGCAGCCACCGCACCGCTCACGGACGACTCGTACGCGCCGCCGAAAGCTGTTTGGCATGCAAGGGGTTTTGTTCTAGCTGCCGACAGCCGAGCCAAATTGCCAGCTTGACATAATCGCAGTGCTTGGCGATGAGTGGCGTGCGTACTTCAACTATTTGCCTACAAACATAACCTCAAAAACCTAACGTTTATTTTTGCACTGTCTCTTTGTTAAGCTCATAACGCAACAGTGCGCGACTCTGTGCTCTTTAGGAATCTGCATACAATTGCTTTGCGTTTCTTGAGCTCCACGCATGTCCTGCCAACCACAGCGATGTTATCCGTGCGGCACACATAACGAAAGTTGCTTTGGCGGTGATATATATCTCGTTGAGCATGCATCCCTGGGGCGTTGATATGTACGTTGAAATGTTCACTTATGGGGTTATTGTACCCACGGTCGGTAGGAGTGAGTTGCAGATTTGGTTGTTGTGTGACTGTAAAGGCCTTCTCCTCTGTTTTGTGGTTAAAAGTTCTTTATTTTCAACCAGAAACGAGTTCTCGCGCGGAACGCTTGAGTATTCTAGCTGCTCAGCCTAAATTTGACTACTTCTTGTGGTCTATCCTGTTTGCGGTAGAAGAAATTGAGGTCTATAGCTCCTTGTTCAGCTTGGACATTTGTTAAGCTTGCTTTCTTGAAGGAAGGGGAGGCTAGAGTTCCAGTTGCAACGACTGCGTTTCCTCTCTTATGTCACACTTTAACCTTACACTGCGGAACGATATTAATCGCTTCAATAAATAACTCAAATCAACAAAAACTAGCGACGGTTTGACGATCCAAGCGCATGCGGAACCAATTTTAAGGATGAAGTCTCACGTTTTGCTGCCAGAGTGCTCGTGGTAGCGAAATTTTAAGGTAAAAACCGCGAGTGTTACATCCGTCAGTAAAGTTGGCCTCGGTCCGATAAACAGAAAGAACTCTTCGATATACTGCCCCAAGCGGTATTGGACTCAGCGTTATAATGTAGTGATTAGCTTACCGGGAAGAGGACTCGGCCAAAGAAACTTGCTCCACTGCTTAGAGCACAGGTTAAACCAGTGTACAACTCAACAGTAGCAGAGTTCGGTATGAGAAACCCAAAGAACTCTTCTAGACACATAACATACCAGTTTGCGCGGAACGGAAAGATTGGGAGGGACCTCGGATAGTTGTCTTACGTGTACGACTAAAGGTTATGCCAGCGAAATCTTGACTGCACTCAGCCTTCGACTAACTACCTTCCTCCGAGGACTCTTACACATACTCAGACACAGTAAGCGAAACTCGTATGGCAAATTACAAAAACCCATACAACATTTCTTCTAAGACTGCCCGCTGCGCGCGCGTGCAAGTTAGCCAGAACCTGTTGCTGCGACAGCCGGAGAATTATTTATTGCCCATGTCGTTGCTGCAGTACCAATCACTAGCAATCGTTGTCGGTCCATTGGAATGCAGTTGTGGCAGCGATGAATACTGCGAGATGCGAACGACCGCCGCTAACTTTAATCTTCATTTGTCCAGCCCATGCGTTTGGCAATTCACAAGAATCAATGACTTGTCATATGTTGTTGTGAATTGTTGTAAGTGAAAAAATAATTTTGTATTTGGCAGCTGGCAGATGCTCCGTTCCAACTGACTTTGATTTATGCGTTGCGCTATTGCGGCAAAAAGTAGATCTCGCGGCGTGCAATGAACCATGCGCTGCCCAGGACGAGTCCAGTCTTCGCGCACATTTTCTGTTGCACTTCCAAAGAGTGTTTAATTATTTATAAGGCACTTCCCCTATTAATTCATTCATTCACCAATTTATTCGCATTTCATTGAAACTTCTATATTTCTTTTTTTTTTGTTTGCTTCTCCATTTCAGTCAGCGCAGCGGTCACATCCGGTTTGGGGCTCATTAAAAATCTATAATAATAATAAAGCTGGTGTTTCGCCATGTCGCCGCACGTCACATCAACGTCAGCAACATCATCAGCGACATTTTGGTTGCTTCAGACGTTACTGCTCTGCCACCGACTTGCATTGTCGGCAGCCTCACAGTCCTCCTCGCTGGGCGTGCACATTGTGCGTTCGCCTGAATCAGCAGTCGCGCCGAAAGGCGATGAGGTAGTCTTCGAGTGCGAGTTGAATTTGACGCCGGAGCGCTTGGAATGGCGATTTCGTCATACGAGCGCACGCGCAACGGATGCCATGAACTACAATTACCTGCATGCGGAGGTAAGTTGGCCAGGGCGCATGTCGCAATGCGCTTGATTTAATATCCAACTGTTCTTCTTCACTTTTAGGACGGCCATAATATCACAAATGAGAACCTTTCCTCGCGTTTGCGCGTTTTCGTCTCGCCTGAGACTTTAGGCGACTACCAATGCGTCGCGTGGTTTGGCTCCGCCGCAATCGCTTCGACGCCTGCGCGCCTCACACTCGTCTCCATAAGCATTGACAACTCGAATGGTTATAGCCGCAATGCGATACGTTGGAGCGTGGCGCCGAAAAATTGCATACTGATACGCTGCGGCACGGTCACCTCAAATCCGCCTGCGGTATGGAGCTTTTTTCGCAATGGCGAAAAAGTGCCACAGACTGAGGTATTGCCTTCGGCGAATGGCGCGCTCATACTGAATTCGGTCTCATCCAAAGACTCAGGCAACTATACCTGCTCGGCAATGAATGCCATAACGGGCGTGGAAGTGCGCCTGCCACAACGCATAGATTTGCGCGTCGACTATACCGATCGCACGCCGCCCTATTTCCTCAATCCACCGCCGGCGCAGGTGACTGCGCGTCCGGGCGAAACAGCTGTGCTCGAGTGTCCCGGTGTGGGCTCACCGCCGCCTGAAGCGGTCTGGAGCAGTCCGAATGTCATTAATATCTATAACAATCGTACAAAGATGCTGCCATACGGCTTGCAGATCGCCGATGTGCTACCCGAGGATCAGGGTTCGTATGTGTGTCGCTTAGATAACGGCATCGCGCCAGCATTGGTGCAAATTATAAAGTTTATTGTACTCGAGCCGCCGCAAATTCTACGCGGTCCGGCGAAGACGCGCACTAACGAGGGCGATCAACTGGAGTTGGAGTGCTCGGCGGCGGGCAATCCGTTTCCACAAATCTATTGGCTGATTAACGGCGAAGATACCTCGCTGGATAATGAAACTTTCCATGAAGATCGTCGTTTGGCCATACGACATGTGCAGAAGCGACATGCGGGCATTGTGCAATGTTTTGCGAAGAACGAAGTGGGCGAGGTGAGTTTAGAGTTTCGACAGTTTTTTACCCCATATTCTGTATAAATGTATTGATCATTCCCTTTCGCAGGTGAGCGAAGGCAGTTTATTGGAAGTAAATCCGAAGCAAATACAAGGCGAGGACTCGTCGCCTTTGGGTAGTGTGCCCATACGCATGTCATACGAGCACTCGGGCAACAAGAATAAGGGCAAACGGAAGCATATGAAAATGCGTGAGTATACTTTTGTAGTACGAGCTTGTATATGCGTATATGTATGTAGATTTATTGGTTAGACACAAAATGATTATAAGAACCTATAGACGCAGATTAAGAGGGAGTGTGGTACAGGTAAAGCTAGTAGGAGTCATTAAGACCCACTAAAAGAGCTGTTTATACGGGTTTGGACCAAGAGACGAGGGTTGTAGAGGAATAGGTCTTAAGTCAAGGATTAAGGCAAACTCAAGATTGGTTTTCTTGTAGCGGAAAAATAACCACGCTTAGAGACAGCCAAAGCCAGTCGATGTTTTTGAGGTATCCAATGGGATTGTCCAACTTGATTTTGCTGTACCGACAGTCCTTGGCCGGTCGACGTCTGTAGTACACCCTGTTCAGCGGTTCTGCTACTCATTGTTAAATACTCTAGTTTTTCTCTTCTAATGTCTCCCGGAGCAAAGATGCTTCGCAGTGCAGTTGCCAACCAGGCGAATTCAGGGTATCAAAGCGGTGACTCTCGATAGGCTTGTAGCTTCTTCCTTACCTTTTTTCAAAGAGCAGAGTCCTGAAGCATCTCCAAGCGAGCTAGACTCTTTCTTGCGTCTTTTTGATGCTTAAATCCATATAATTAAAAAAAATGAAATTATTCTTGCCAAAAAGTTTATTTTTTACCGTTAAGAAACAAATTTTCGTCTTCATTTAGCTTCAAAAATTCGAGTTAAATATATATTTATGTATGTACAAGCAAATGAAGACTTCCATTTCTTTTCGCGTGGCGAATGAATGAACTTAAAAGTTTTTTTTTATATAAAATCGGCATATTTTTAAAAATAACCTCAATTTCATAGGTGAATTATATACATACTCGTAAATCCAATTTACTTTTGAACATGATGGATAAAACTAATACATATTTTTTTATATATATATCTATGTATGCGTTTATTTTTTGAAATTTTTTTTAAAAAACAAAATAAAATAATCGAAAATACCTAACCTACAAACTTACAAGCTAAGCAATAATCCGTAATAGACATTTAGTAGACATTCTTTACACCTGCTCCTCATTGCTGGTCTTACGCAATTGTTTTTCTTCCTCCTGCAAAATGCGTATTTTCATTTTGAGCTCCTCCACCTGCAGCCGGTGCACCTCACGCAAATGCTTGAGTTCTTCTTGCGCTCGATTCAGCTCGATTTTCTTCTTCTCCAACGACACCTGTGTCTCCTTAACACGCAATTCCGCCTCCTTCAATCGGAAATACTGGACTTTTTCCTCAAAGGAGTCCACTGTGATTGAGGTATTGCCCTGTGTGGGTGGCGCTGCAGCGGCCGCATTGCTCACACTCACCGTGGGCACGACTGTGGGTGGCGCCGGCGCTGTGGCGACGGGTAATGCATGCAGTGTGGCGCAAGTGAAGGTCGGCGTAGCTGTGGCGAACTGTGCTGTGGCCGGTGATTGTATTTGCATCTTAATTTGATGCTGCTGTTGTTGTTGCTGATGTTGCTGTTGCTGTTGTTGTTGTTGCTGCTGCTGCTGTTGTTGTTGTGCAGCAACAGCGAGCTGATGTTGGGCCAACTGCTGCTGCTGCTGCTGCAACTGTTGCGCCTGATATTGGGCGAGTGTTATTTGCTGTGGCTTAATCTCGCTGATGATCTGCTGGTTGTATGTGGCCGGCATGGTAATGGTGTGCTGCTGCGTCTGGTGTTGACTGGGTATGGTGATGCGAGTGGGCGATGGTAGCGTAATGTGTGCAGCTGGAGGAGAAAAAGCATAGAAAATTAGTTAAAGAAAATTTTTAATTAAAGACACATCTCCACTTACTGGTGGCATCGGTGGGATGTTTGATCTGCAAGATTATGTCTTCACGCGGACGTGTCGTCTTGAATTGTAGCAAATCGTTGAGCGTTAGCTTTTCAGCGCTGATTTGATCCACCGATATCTGCTGCGCTTGTATAGTTTGTTGCTGCTGTTGTTGTTGGTGTACATGCTGCTGCAGCACCTGTTGCTGATGCTGTTGTTGTTGTTGTTGCTGCAAATGCTGCTGCTGCTGTTGTTGTTGCAACGGATCCAGTGGCTCCTGCTCCACTAGCTGCCCCACACCATCACTGGTATCCATCTCCATCTCTTCGAACGCCTCATTCTGGCTGCCATGCTCATCGGGGTCAGTGTTGGTGAGCTGAAAGTCGGGCTCATCTTTGATCTGATGGCTCACGACTTCAGTGCGTTCGCTGGCATTGCCGCCTGCTTGTGTGTGGTTTGCATCCTTTTGGCCATTCGGTCGGAACGGGTACTGCTTACGTAGTCTAAAGTAGTGAGAGAAAGGGAAATTAAAAATTTGTATTTCGAATTTATGATTTTTAAACTCATTTAAAAAATAACAACTTCAGTCGAACGAGTGGCAAATCATAAACACATACACACAATTGCTTGAAATTCAACCCCCCTGCTTTTGCTAGCCAAAGCTGGGAAGACGGCTGGCTGACGAGTGAGATACTACTGTACTCGCAACGTGTCTCAGGCAGCGAACGCGATAAGGTTGAACATTGATTTTACACAACACAATTTAATTTTTGTTTATTTATGTGCCAAGCACCCGATTGAGCAAATTGCGCTGTTTTTATTGTCCTCAAACGTGTGAGATATTTTCGTATCTTTGAGATATAAATATACGCCGTGTTGAGATATTCATTTGCCGCCATTTTTAATTGCACTCGAAAGACGAGCACATACCTAATTGCCGGGCGACGTTGATTGAGGGCATGAGCGAGTGCCCATTGAGGTGGTGGAGTTAAGCACAACGCTCAGATACCTTTGCAATGACGAGTTGCCTTCACTGCAGTCATTGTTGTTGTTGTTGTTGTTGTTGAGCTCAACTCTTGTATAAACGGAGATTGGCTCGTTTGGATTTTTGTGTACATACGACTTTTCGCTCGACTTTGTTTGTGTTGTGAGGCGGTTTTTCGGTGTTTTTATGGGGTCTTTGAGTCTATTGGACCTACTAAATCAGCGAAATTTATTTGTTATGAGTTGGAATGCGGTTTGTAAATGAGCTTTTAGATAGACGACAAACATTTGTGTCTTTTGAGTACAAACATACAAACGCGAGCACTTAAACATACGCATGGGTTGGCATTTTAAAGGCACGCGCTGAGAGCCGCGCATGTAACAGGTGTAGTAATTAGAGCAGCTGACCCAGGGGTCAGTAGACGCAAAACGCACTCTAAAGCCTGTGAAGCCATATAAAGAGTGAGATCTGGAATGGCTTCTCAACAGCAAAACACTTCAAACTAGGGATTCAATCAGCGTAAAAATAGAAGTTTCTATTTTCTGCTTGCCTTGTAGCAGTTTCAAGCAAACGTTTCTTTCTCTCCATTTACCTTGCATTCAACCAGAATTTTTGTATCTGCTTCAGGTTACGCGCTGCGCTTACACCCGGATGTGTGTTGAATTCGCGCACAATATTCTCCCATGCATCGCGCACCGAATATTTGGAACGTTGTTTCTTACGGAATTTAATATCGATGACCTCCTCATGCTCGTGGAACAAGCTGTAGAGTATTTCCTTTTCCTCTTGGGTAAAACGTGGCGTTAATGTGATTTGCCCAGACTTGCTACTACCGCCACCACTAGTGGTTGACGTATTGGCCATGTCGTCCGCCACAGTGTTCGTGGTGGTAGCCACCACGGTCACAGTACCGTCACCACCGCCACCGACCGTCACGCCAGTGGACATCTGACGCGATTTTCTCGCTATGTTGGCGGTGAAAATTTACCAGTGCCGGAAAGGAAAGCAGATATCTGGCGCTGTAGCGTCGGACGACGACGTTTCTTTCAGGTGATTTGTTATTGCAAACAATCTAATGCACTACAGCTCCACTCGAAACGGCGTTAACTCAAAACCAATTGACTTTAAACGAGATGAACTGCTTTTGACTCCAAAATAAAAAAAGAACCACGAAAATTGAAAATTGTTCTCAATTTTATATACTTTTCAGTAGCACTCTAGCGTATTTGTTGTTGTTGCAAAGCACTTAATTGTGCAGCTGTGGCCCTGAGTACATTTACGCGGATGCCTTACGATTTTTGGTGGATAATTATCCTTTAGCACATTTATATATATACATATGTATATATATATATCTAATTATAACAGTACACACACTGATTTGTTAATTAGTTTTTAAAAAATTTTGTAGAATTTTCTTTTTCACGAATAGAGAAAATTTTTCTGTTAAGTAGCGCCGTAACTCTTAACAAATCCACTCACAACGAGCTGCAGAAAACGAGTGCGAGTGACGAGTGGCGAGTGAATGCTGGTCGGCCATGTTTTGAGTTTGTTTTTAGCACGCAGTGCTGCCAGAACGTTGTATGATATTGTGGGATTTTATTTGATTATGTTAATATAGTGAATAAAGAAGGGAAAAGCTTTTACAATGGGCGTCGTCCTGTGGAACTAGGATATGAAAAGTTGAATTTTTTTTTACGAAATTTTAATAGATATTCAATATTTTTAGGTAGAAAATTTAAAAAACATACAGTTTTCCTTAGAAAATAATTAGAAAGTAAAAAATATGAAAAAACCCAAATTTATTTGCTTAAGTTCTAAACAATATGCTTCTATTTTTTCAAGAATAAATGTAAAATCGAATGCATTTTTCACAGGAACTGAATACAGTCATAAGTCTACAAATATATACACAAACAAATTTAGAATAATACGTTAATTTTTAAACTACTTGTTTAAATTTTCAAAGACGAAATCAAAGAAAACTAAATAAAATATTCAGCTGAATTTCGTAAATGAGACGTGATTAAAATAATTTTTAATATTTTTTTTTTAAATTTTTTTAAGCTACTTTGTAGCAAAATCACTGAAAAGTAATTAAATACTGATGGTTTATAAAAGTTTGAGAGCTAAAATGAAATTTGGAAATAATTACAACCGCGTGGCAATACCGAAACTTGACTATGACGACATCTCTCAGCAGTTAGTACACAAATGTACTGTTTTATACATGAGCATTCAAACTGTTACCATTTCTATTTAAGTTTGTTCTCAAACCCTGCTGAGCAACAGGGTGAACGAGTAAAGTTTGAGTGCAAATACGTGCCTAAATTGTACGACTACAATAACGAGCATGACGCATGAATAACGGCTACATGTTTAAAGCCAAACGCAGGAGAATTGATGTTTTAAATTTTAATAAAATATATAATTTAGTAAAATGCGAGCTGATTTTGCTTGAGTAAGCGCATATCGCTCCCCGTGCCGACTGTATTATTGAATAATCGAAAAAATTCAGCTAAGCATACGCCTGTGGCGGCTCATCATCGTCCAAACCCTCCAGTGGATCTTTTTCAATGGCATCGGGGTAGAATTTTTTCAATACTTTATTGATTTCTTGCATCAGCGGCACATAGTCAGGTGGAAATTTATCACGTCTCGGTGGGCCTTTATCCAAACCCGACCACAGTTGATGTACCGAGGTGCGCGCATTCTGTGAAAAGCCAATCTCAAAGGCGCCCGGTCTCGGCGGTACTTTGCCATTGTGATTGCGTACGAGTTGTATGATGCGCTGTGGTGCCTCTGCTGCTACATATGCCGCGAATTCTTCAGCCTTAGTTTGAAAGATGGGACACTCCAGTGTGTGCTCAATGTAGATCATGGAACGGTTCTTGTCAAAGTACGCATCGGCTGTCCAGTCGATTTCGCGTTGTTTTTTACTCTTTTTACCTTTGCGTGGCGGCATTGTCTTGAGTGGATAAACTTAAAATTTTGAAATTTAATTTTCACATGAAACTTTTATTTTTTGATTTTTTATTTCGAATTTTTACAATGACTTTACAAAAGTGTTATTATTTTTTACTATTCACAATAATTTTAAATATTTTATTTCACGCACTTCTTCCAGCAAACATGGTTCCACCTTCCCGGCCGAATGTCACGCGCTTGGCCGACGACTCGGTCATGCTGCGCTGGTATGTGCCCAAGAACGAGGGTCTGCCCATACAGTTTTTCAAAGTACAGTATCGCATGCTCGGCGACTCGACTCGCAAGATACCGCGCGAAAATTGGCAGACCACCAACGAAGATATACCCTATGGTAAACGTGATCGCATCTATGAAGGCGTGAAAAACTTTACCTCCTCCGTAACTGGCTTGAAACCAGATCGTTTCTATCGTTTTCGCATCATCGCTGTCTACTCGAACAATGATAATAAGGAGGGCAATACATCAGCGAAATTCTTTTTACAAAGCGGTGAGGCTTTGGGTCCAACAAAGGCGACGCTACCAGCGCCAGAGCTGGTGCGCGTAGAGCCGCTCTCTGAGACCGCCGTTATGATACACTGGACGTTGCCGGCGAATCCAGTAAATGTGCCAGATGGTTTTTATGCCTACTACCGACTCGCCTCCTCGGCGGGTGAGTACCTCAAGGCGACTGTTGATGGCCAGCATACACGGAAATTCAAAATTGACATGTTGGAAGCAGGCACCGCATACGAATTCAAACTTCAGTCGTTTAATGCGCTTGCCGCGTCTGAGTTTAGTGCCATCTTGCAGGGCAAAACGAAGAGTGAGTGTCAAAAAACCGTTTTATTTTTTCAAACTTTACAAATCAAAAATATATATTTTTTTCTACCGCCACAGAACCTGCTACAACGCCAGCGCCCGCACCACCAGTTATTATGACGCCCATCAAAACGAAGGAGAGCGACAAACCCAAATACCCCTTAGTGGCGGGCATTGCCGGCTGTGGCATACTGCTAGTGGTGGCCATCGTAGCCGCCTTTCTCTGTATGAAACGACGCAATCCGTCGCCACCGGAGGGTGAGTAAAGTAGCTGTTAAGCACACGAAGAACAAATTGGTACTTATTTCCTTTATTTCATTTCACTGTTTTTAGATGAAGACAAGCCTCAACTGGACCATATACAGGCGGACTTTGTGACACCCTCGGTGCTGGGCGTGTCGACGCATCATAAATCCGGTCATCGTCTGAATGGCGTCATACCACGCATGAACATCACGCCGAATCCGTTGGCACAGGAAGCCGATAAGGTAAGCATCGACCGAACCGAGCACTAGTGTATTTGTATATAAGTATATACGAGCATGTATGTGCGAGTATATGCAAAATATGCCTTGATTTGGTTTGTCTCATTTTATAAAGTCGCACTTTTATCTACGACTCTTTCTATATTTATTTCCGTTATATTTTTGTACTGCTTTTCTCCATAAATATTCGAATTTTCGAAATGTAAAAATGTTTTTTTTTTTCGAATTTATACGAAAATCTTTGGACAAAATTTGTTGCTTGTACTTTACCTAGTCTTTTCTAGTGGGGTTGTATGTATGTCTTTCAACAGCTGTTGGTGCCTCGATTCTGTAACTACTTAAAATACTCAAAAATAGCACATACTCGACACTTCTTCAGCCTTTCCAGCAATTCTTCTGCAAACGCAAAAAAAAAATATTAAATAAAATACAAAAAAAAAAAAAAATTATTAACAAAAAATTAAGAAATTATTTGGCTTCTTAAGATCTATTGTAAAAAGCATTTCTTACTTTAACTATAATTATTATGAAAATTATTTGTACATACATACATATATAATTTTTTTTTATTTAATTTAAATTAATTTATTTTTACTTGTTACTATTTAATCTATTTAATTTTTTTAGTTAACATTATTCAAATCATAATTCCAAACTTCTAAAACCCAGACCCTCCAGTAAAGTCAAAAAAAAAAAAAGTGAGGTTAGGAAATCAGAAAATATTTTTTTCTGCCGCACAACCTAGAAAATGTGATTACAGTCGGTCCGAGTAGGGAGCTTCGTGCTCTCTGAGAAAGCTTGAATTCTATATTTGGCTTTTAGTGCACTTATTGTACCATTTCGGCATGTAACGTGTCCGTTTTCCGTCAAAAACTATCATTTGACGAATGATCTTTTATCGAAACTCTTTATTCTTTACCTCAACAGCCGCCGCTTCAGTCCTACAGAACTTATATACTGTTTAAAAGACAATTTCTGTGTCCGAGTAGGTCGCTCAGGTCCTTAAACCGCTTGGGACGGCTCGCAGTGATGCTCGAATGCTGGTAAAAAAGACTTGACTGTGCCTTCCAGGCTCACCGAACTGTACTTCTTGATTTAAATTTCCCTTTGCACTTACAAATAGAACTCATGACTTTGGAAAAAAAAACGCTAACGAACTCAGCTGTCGAATACAACACGAACTCTCCCCTCGTAAGCTAGTCGCTGATATTAAATCTCGAGATTTCGAAAGCCATGTTAATGATCGGCCAAAGAGGAACCCTAACACGGCCGCCACGACTTATTCTCAACATCTCAACATAAGCAATCTCTATATGTATAGTTTCGACCCTCCAGCTGCTTGGTGCAGACTGTTGGCGCATAATAGAAAGCTTAACTGTGCAAGCTCTATGAGTTTCGTAGGTTCAACTTAAGATCTATACTCACGAATAGTGTTAAAAAGTCGAAATAGTGTTGATGGTCCCCTTCGTGGAGACACTGTTACGATCAGCTGACAAGTACTGGCATTAGCTATCTTTCTGCTTAGATCACCGCCGACGAAGAAGTTCTTGATTTCGAGCACACTAATGACGAATGGTCGGATTTAGACCGTAACAACATTAGCTAATGAGTCTGACTTGAACTCTTTCTATTAAGGTCGTCCATCTCCAGACATCTCCAGACTTTAATAAGATCAGCTAATGAGCCTTGTATAAACTCTTACCGTTCCAGACCAAGAACGTAATGTTTATAACTTTGGAGACTACAGCAAACCTAGCTGACGTGAGCTATTTTTACTGTTAGGGTTTTCGCTGATGAAAAAGCTTCAGATCCCGAACATAATGTTGATGACCGGTCTCGTGGGGACAATATCGCAATCAGCTGACAAGTTAGGCGTCAACTTTCCTCCTCTGCTAAGTTCCTGCAGGCGCCGAACTCAATGCTGATAGCTGTAGAGATCACAACAGGATCAGCTTGCAATCTTCTTGTTAGGTACGGGCCTAGGAGAGTCTGATAAATATTAACTCTCTCTCTCTCTCTATGTTAAGCTCGTTCCTTAATAAGATCTCGTTTTTCCAACGAATAGATAAAGTAGTCGATATTTTACAGCGAGAGACAGTCTTAGGAAACCTTTGGACTTGATATGAACAAAATTTTTACTTTTTTTTATTCTTGGAACTCGCTAAATTCACATTATTTAAGCTTCAAAGGCTGCTTTCTTCTGCTTACTTTTTAACCAGTCCAAGCTGCAGTGTCTTTTGCTCAATAATAATCTCGCTGTAATATAAAGCTCATCCTCTCCGGCATTTCATTCGGCAGCAACATCCATCGGTCATTTGCCCATTACTCTTTACACTAACATTCTTTCTTTCTTCACTCCTTTCTGCACATTCCTCAACGCTTCCTTCTGCTCCGCTTGCACAACTCTTCTATCAGCCTTTACACGCCTACCGATAAGCTTAAGTATTACTAGTGCGACTCTAAGCCATTTGCTGCTACTAGCTTAGAAATATCAGCGTGAACTGTTCTAGAATCGCAACAACGTGATGGAGCTACGCTTCCTGCCCAACAGCAACACGAACACCAATAGCGCCAGCAATTCCGAGAGTGCCAGTAATTTGAACGCTACCCACGCGCAAACGAGCAGCAGCCATAATAGTCTACACCAGCCGTCTTCAGCCTCGGTCAATGGCAACGCTGATGCCACCGATGAATCGTACACGCTGCCACCGCGCTCTTCCTCGTCCTGTGAGACGCTGGAAGCCAGCGAGGGTATCTTCAATGCCAACGATCCGAACTCGCCACTTTCCAAGCCCTTGCCGCCACTGCCGAACCACAAACCGCAGCACAGCCAACAGCAGCACCAGCACCAGCAGCAAACGCATACAACCCTACCGAAAATGACCGGTAATAAAGCAAAAGCCGCACCACCCGTCACAACGGTAAATGCAGTTACAACCACAGCAACAGCAAATGCAAATCATGCCACAGCACATTACAATCACAACACGAATGCCATGCATTTGCATACGAAATCGAACTCATCCCACTCATCCACCTCCTCATCATTTCAATCTTTACATAATTCACAGGCACACCTCGGCTCGCATCAGGGTCTACATCACGCGCAACCCTACCACCCACATCCCTCATCGCCCGGCACACCGACGTTGATGCATAAGCGCGGCGATTACATGTCGCCACCGCAGCCACCGCCGCATCATCATCATCATGCCAATCCAGCGGTTGTCGGCCAACATCCGCCACCGGTGCCGCCACATCAGAATAACAACCACAGTGGTCATCACAATGCGCATCATCTCTACCAACAGCAACAGCAGCAGCAGCCGCAACAGCAACAACACCACCTACACCATCACCAACAACAGCAACAACAACAACTGACGCCGGCCATGGAACAACAACGTCGCACACTGGAACGCAGCGCGCGCAATCTCCACTATACGGCGACCGCAGTGCCCGCCAATGCCGGCCAACCGCACGATGCCGCCATGAATATCGATGGCCTGCCAACACGTATTCCCTCGTTGCGCCGCACACGACGCACGTCCGGCAGTGCCAACAATAACAACAATGGCGGTGTAGGCATACCCATTGTGCCGGGCAGTCCGCGTGTGCAGCGCTCACCGATGCCGGCGCGTGCTATGATGAAGCGCGGTCGACTGGGCAGTCACAATGACAACATGTCCTCGGGCAGTTTGAACAGTATTGAGGTGTAAACAACGGGCGGGTTTTGTGTGGGTTCGGGGGTTAGTGGGTGCGGGGATTTGAGGTTTAGCAGAGAGTACCAAAAGAGTGCTTAATGTGGCGGCGGGGTTTACGTGTAACTAGTATTAAGTGTTAGTTGTAGTTTAGGGAGAGGGAAAGAGAGGTGCAGAGTATGCAACTGTTTGGGGGGCAGTAAGATTGTAGTTTTAGGCAGCATAACGGTTCTTTAATAAACAAATACTTATTTAATTATACAGACAATTCAAGATGCCGGGCAGAGGGCGGGGCCTATATTATTTATAAAGGAAAATTAATAAAACTAAATACAATAAAATTAAATATGTTCAATTAAATTAAAATGATAAAATTAAAAAATTAAAAGATTAAAAAAAAATAAAAATAAAATAAATTATTATTAAATAAAATAAACTAAAAAGAAATAAAAAAATAAATTAAAGTAAAGAAAAAGAAAAGTGAAAAAAATATAAAATAAAAAAATGAATAAATAAAAAAAATAAATAAATAAATTTAAATAAAAAAAAAGTGAAATAAAAAAAAAAAAATGAAATAAAAAAGTGAAATGAAATAAAATTTAAAAAATAAATAGAATAAAAATAAAAGTATCAAATAAAAAAATAAATTAAATAAAAAGAAATAAATAAATAAGTTTAAATAAAAAAAAATTAAATAAAAAAGTGGAATGAAATAAAATTTAAAAAATAAATAGAATAAAAATAAAAGTATCAAACAAAAAAATTAAATTAAATAAAAAGAAATAAATTATATAAAATAATAATTTAAAGTTAAAAAAATAAAAAAATTAATTTAAATGAAGAGAAATAAATTATATAAAATAATAATTTTAAGTTCAAAAAATAAAAAAGTTAAATGAAATCAAAAATAAATTACAATAAAGCAAAATAAAAATAAATTAAATAAAAAACAACAACAAATAATAAAATATTTTAAGTAATAATAGTTCGAGTAAAATTTGTAAATATTTCACATGAAAATGCGCAAAAATATATCTTTAAGTCTTAGACTAAATATAATCGAATATTCTATAAAACAACTCGAATGTTATAAGAAAAAAAAAAAAAAAATAAAAATTAGCAATAAATTAAGCTCCCGAATAGGCTACCTCTAGTGTGCCTTGTTAATGTAAGACATAATAAAAAAAATAAATAAAATAAAAAAATAGTTTTGTACACAAAATGACAGCCATTAGCACTAGCAATAACGTAACTAAGTAGTTTAACGTTAACTCCGTCCTTGAAGAAGAACAGGAAATAAGAAATTAAAATATATATATATATATATATATATATATATATATATATATATATATATATACATTTATATATAAAAGAAAAGACTAAAGCAAATGAAAATATAAAATACGAAATTATTAAAAAGAAATACATTACTAAACAACATCAAGCACAACTCAAAATAGTTTAGTGTGGAAATTAACACCTAAAACTATGCAACACTGCGCAGCATAACACTGCATTATAGAGCGCCCAGCACCTATAGGGCGGCGCTGCCAATTAACCGACTGTCAGTTCTTCAGTTTTAATATTTATTTTAAGTTTAATTATATTTCTTTATTAATAAATAAATAATAATAGATTGTAATTTATTTAAAATATAATTTTCGTGCTTCCTACAGTTTTTGACTGCACTTTAATTTTATGTAAATTTTTTTTACTGTAGTAATTAATTACATAAGTTTTTTTTTTCTTTGATTTAAATTATATTTAATATACTGAAATTGTGAAACCATAATGGCCTTAATTTTAATAAAATTAATATTTTTTTATTAAATGCGGCGCTTTTCTATTGAATATTGGTGTATAAATATAGTTATGTAAATTAAAAAAAAAAAATTAAAATTAATTTTAATATTAAATTGTCAAGTATTTTATCGTATTTTTTAAACAGCTTACTTGAGCTTATTTGTTTTTGAAATTTTAGGTTTTATCATTATGTCACTACAATAATATTTAGCAAATATAAATATAAAACTTAAAGCAACAAAAAATAGTGAAATAAAAATAAAATCTTTACTACTAAAATAAATATGATTTTTTCTACAACACACAACTTGGCTTAAGAAAAGGTATATTATGATAATTTATTCTTTTTCTTAAAGTGTTTAAAAATTAATAAAATAAAGTCAATTAAAATAAAAAAAAATTTAAAAAACTATTAAAAACATTTAATAAAAAATAATAATAAATAATAAAAATAAAAATTAGTAAAAATGTCTAAAAGATTGTTTTATCAATAACCTCAATTATACTTACGCAAACTAACCGCAATTAAAAAAAAATAAATTTCTGGTTCTTTTTTTTAGAAAAAATGCAACATTCATTTATTTATGAAAATAAATTATTCCACAATGATAACAATGAAACTATGCATCAATATCTATGCACACACATACATATTATAGCTAAAGTATATAATTTCTAAAAAAAAGAAATAAATTAAATAAAGTTATTACATTTTAACTTGAATAAAATATTTTTGAAATTCTTTTCGACACATAAAATATCAGTTGATGTTTATAATTTACAGTAATAATGGCTTAGTCACTCTGTATATCCTTTTTAATGTATGTATGTATATCCATTTTGGTACATATGTGCTTATGTATAGGTTCGCTTTGCACTCATTTTTATAAATAATTTATTATATATTTTTTTTATTTGTTTTTATATTTATTTTTTATATTTATTTTTATATTTATTTTTATTTCTACTCCTGTTTTATTTTAATTTTTATTTTTACTTTATATTTTTCGTTTTTTTTTAAATATAATTTTTCATATTTTTAAAATTTTTTAATTTGTGTAAATTAAATTTTTCGTTTTTATATTTTATTTTTTTTTCCAATTGAGCGCTTTCTCTTGTAATAACTTCATGCAATTTTTGTATGTGAATATTTTGTAAATATATATATGTTTTTTTTATTTCCTTCCGCTTGGACTCTACACGTAAATTAGTTGCAATAATTCTTTTATTTTATTTATTTATTTATTTTTGATCATTTTTTATGTATTTTAAATTTATAAATATTTTTAATTATAATTTCCTTTCTTTTGTAAATGTAGTTCCTTTAAGCTCTAGCGCTTACAGTGCTAACCATTGATAATGAATGCCCTCTGGGCTTTTAAGCTTTAACTAGTTAGTGTTTAAATATATTTATATTTCTCTATATTCCTTTTTTCAGTTGATTTTCAGCATTTCTTATTTTTTATTTTGATTTTGTATTGAATATAGTACACGTTTGATATTTTATTTATACTAGTAGTTGCTTTTTCCTTTAAGAATCGCCTAAAACTAGTTTAAACTAAATTAAAAGCTTCCAATATAAAAAGTCAGGCGCCTAAAAGTGAGCTACGCTGAATTAATTTTTGCTGTTCAGGGCGCATTTTGTTTGCTACTAGCAATTAAGCGCAGCTTTTAGCGCTGACCCTTCCAATAAATGAGCTTTTTTAAAGCTTTTTCCTAAATTTTCTTAACATGTTTAACAAAAAAAATGTATTTTATCAGTGCTAGCGTTTTATGCAATAGAAATTACTTAATTACTAAATAGGAGCCTTCAGTTGTATTTTCAAACTTAAAAAAAAAATTGATTTTAAAATTATTATTATTTTTTATTTATTCTAATTTTTTTTTTTTTAATGTGGAAATAAAGTATAAAACCGCAAAGTCACAGAATACTAGCTTTCGTGGAATAGGAAAAAAAGCTTTTCGCAAGATTGAAGCCTTCAATGCAAGAAAACTTCGTAAAAAGTCTTAAATATTTACTTAATTGCAAAGAGCTCCTAATATTTTACATTTTACCACTTATGTGCTGAAAAGCTCATTAAAAGTTTCTTAAGCTAGTTATTTCAAAAAAGTTTTAATAGTTAAACATTGGTTTACTCGCAAAGAGCTGCTGAAAATTGGCTGTTATTCCTATTTTTTTGTTAAAAGCTTAGTAAAAGCTTTCTAAAAAATTTAAAGTTTTTAAAAAGTGGTATCGTAAAAGCTCTTTGAATTTGTTCCAAACATTTTCTCCTTATTACTGCATATCACACATCATCTGCACACTTCTCTCTTCAACACCGCTTTAAAAGCTCTAAAATCATTTTTGTAAACTGTTACTCAATTCCTTAGTTCATACATATATAATTTTTTTACTTAAAAATTAATTTATATTTATATATAATATAATATATATCCTATTCAATTTGGTAAAACTATTTTTTTTAGCCGCTTTCCAGCGCCAGCGTCAGACGCTCCGTTTCCAGCTCACTGTCGTTCCACTTCAGTGGCGTAAATTGTTGCTGTTGTCTTCGGTTTTGTTGTCATAAATATTTGTGTAGGCATTTTTTTGCTAGACATCACACATTTGTTCTATATATGTATGTATACAAGTACATATATATATATATACGAGAATGCAAGCGCGATTATAAGAGAGTAAAGAGAAGAGCAAAAAAATGGAAGAAAAAATTATAGGAAAAACAAAAATTTTTTTAATATTATTTTTTCTTTTAAATTTTTTTTTTTTTCAAAAGCTTTTAATAGAACGTGCGTACGCATTGTAAGCAATCGAATAAAATTTTATTTAAAAAGCATTTTGTAATTATTTAAATGGCCATTACTGTATATGCACATATATAATGATGATTAAAGCTTTAATGTAGAAGCTTTTTTTGAATATTTATTTGGCGCGTTTTTTTTTTTTGGAGGAAAAAAGCTTAAAATATTTATTATTAAAAATTTGCAGAAAAATTTGGTAGAAAAAAGCTCAGCACAAATTTGTAAAGGTTTATTATTATAAAGTTTACATGCAAATATTAAAAAATTTATTATTTATTATTTTAAAATTTAGCGTATTTTTTGTGGATTTGAAATTATTGGGATGATTTTTATATACAAAATCTTAGGTTAAAAATGATGTAGTGAATAAAAGTAATATTTAAATGCAAATCTAAAAGGCGAAGCTTTAAAAGAAAAATGTTAACTAAAGTCAGAGCTTACTCATCGGTACTGGTACTGCTCTATGTTTTGCATTTGGTTGGTGCTTTGTGCTTACATGCTGGAAAATGTGTAAGCTATGGGTTGAAATGGAGGGTTATCGAGAAAAAGCTCGATTTTTATTTAAAGAACTCGATTTTGGAGGAAAGCTCGAACCTAAAAAAGCTCGATGGTGTAAACAAAAGTCGATTTGAAAAAAAACACGGCTATTGAAAAAGTCTAATTTAGGGAAAGCTTTTTTAAAAAGCTCAATTTTGAAAAATTTCAAATGTGGAATGTAGAACATTGTGAAGAAAGTCCAGCTTTTGAAATGAAACATTTTTAAACGTTGGAAAAGTGCGTTTTTTGAAAAAAAAAATATATTAGAGTAAATTCTGTGATTAAAAAAAAATTGGGAAAAAGCTCGAGCTTTGAAAAAATTAAAAAGTTCAAATTTTGAAAAGGCTAAATTTGTATAGAAAATTTCTTTCCGAACAAAAAAAAAAAGCTCGACATTGGAAAGTATGACAAAGCTCATTTTCAAATCCGACTAAATTTTTACAAAAAAAAGGAAAAGTTCAAAAACAAGTTTCACTTTAAATAAAAAAGAAGTCTATCTTGAAAATTTCAAGTTCAAAAACTACATTTTAAACAAGACTGAATTTGAAGAAAAAACCATCGAGGTTTGAACTTGACTTTGATAAAATTTTATGTTGAGCGATTTTGAAAACAACCATCTTAATTTTAAAGTTAAAGTACCAAAGAGAGAAAAAGCTGAGCTTACAAAAAACTTTGAAACAATTTGAGTTCCATTGAGAAGCTTAATTTTTGAAAAAAAAGCTGGAATTTGTAAAGTGCTCGGTTTTAAATAACACGATTTTGATATAAGGTTCCAAGTAAGTCGATTTTGAAAATAATTTTCAATAAAAATTTGTGAAATTTTTATTTAAAAACTTAAAAAGTTTATTATTTTAATACTTGAAAATAATACAAATAAAATTCAATAAAAATAAAATACATTTAAGAGTAATACAGAACTTAAATTTAGGTGATTGGTTTTGAGTATGATTTTTTTAATATTAATATTACCGTTTATATTTACATATATTTTATGTTTCAAAAAATATATTTACAAATATAAATGAGAATTTTAAAAATAAAATACGTTAAATAAGTTTTAAGTATTTGCCAATTGCTTTCATTTTCTAAGACTTTCGAAAATCATTTTTGGGAAAAACAATTCTGATGTTTGGAAAAAAGTAACGCTCGATTTCAAAAAAGCTGGTATCCAAAGATAAGCTAAATTTTGAAAAAAGCTCAGTATAAAAAAAATCCATTTGAAAATAGCTTGTAATTACTGATTTTTTCACTATTTGTTTTTTTTTTTTAAAGCATTCGATTAAAAGTAGCGCACAAAAAAGGGTTAAAAAGCTTAAATCGCAAGTTTTGGTTATTAAAAAGTTTTTTATTTATTTTTTATTTATTTTTGATTTAATGACAATGCGATTTGTTTTCTAAATTACTTTCTTGATTTTGAAAAAAATCTATATTTTGAGTTAAGCTCAATTGGGTTAAAAGCTCCATGTAAAAAAAAACTATCTGTGTTTTGAAAAAATTGCCTAATTCTGAAAAAAGCACGAATGTGAAAAACCTAGAATTTGAAAACAAGTTTGAGTTTGGAAAAAAGTTAGGTTTTGAAAAATGACCAATTAAAAAAAGCTTAATGTGGAAAGAGGATTTCGAAAACAACTTAATTTGAAAAGAGCTTAATTTTCTAAAAAGCTCATATTATGAAAATAATGTAAAATAATAATAATAAAAGTTTTAAAAAATCTTTATTATATTTTTTTTAAATATATTTTTATAATTTTTTATTGGGTTTTAATTTTTTTAATTTTTTAATTATTTATAAAAAATAAATAAATAAACTCTTTTGTAAACAATAATATTTTTTATATTTGTTTTTACAATTGGTATTCTCATTTCTTTTCGAATTTTTGAAAGTTTTCAACAAAAAAAAATTATTTTCGAAATTTTCATTTCATTTTAATATTTTCAGTTTTATCAATTTTTACATACTTTTTTTTTTAAACATCAATTTTCAAACCATATTATTTTAAAAAAAAATTCCAAACAGTAAAAATTACAAAAACTTATAATATTTTACAATAAATATTTACAAATTTATAGTGCGGCTTAACGGTACTTTAGCTGGGTGTAAAGCGCAATTGAATGTATTTCACTAAGTTTGGGGACTGCGGGGGGTGAAAAAAGCTTGCAATTATTAGTAAATTCTATATTCAAATATTTTACAAGTACGAAAACAAGAAAAAAAGGTACTTAAAAACTACTACTATTTCATACAATTTCTACTACTAAATTATTCATAGTTGCAATTGCACATTTCTAGGGACAAAATAGAGTGGAAAAGAGGTGCTGTAGGTGTTGACCGGTTAATTGGTGTTGGTGGACGTACACAGGGAGGGCGAGGGGTCGGTTAAGCTGGGTGGCATAAGGCCGTATTGCGTAAAAGCGTAAGGCGTAAGGTAAACACTACTACTGCTCTGACAACTCAAATACAACTGACTCGGGTGGTACGGATGACGCTGGCGGCACTCTTAGTACCTTTTGGCCGCCAAAGCACAACGTCAACAGCCAACTGCCTGCGCCGCCGCCGCCTCTGCTGCTGCTGCTTCCGCTGCCACTGCCGCCGCCGTTGTTGCCGTGCCCGCGTGTCAAGTGTGTGCCGATACTGTTGTTGTTGTTGTGATTACTAATACGACGCTGTTGGCGATAAGTGCTGCCGCTCGATAGACGACGCGCTGGTAAATGATTTACGGTGGTGGCGGCGGCGCTGTAACGCCGACCATTCAAGCGCCGCGTGGTGGGCGAGTGATCGTTTCTGTGTGTGCGTGCGTATGTGTATGTGTGAAGGAAGGGGAAAACACCGCAGAATGAAAGAGAAAAAGAGAAAAAAGCATGTTAGTTTGAGTTTCCCACCCGGCGAGTGTGAATGTGTCAAGTAAAGCTCGCTGGAAGCTTGAAACCCACCTTTTGCCATCTTGTGGCGTGCCACCGGCTGGGGCCTCCGTGTCGGGTGCAGTGTTGTAGGCGCCGGAAAACATCGAGGCACGCTTGGGCGCCCACTCGGGATGGCCGCGTACGGACATGTAGACGGCGAGGCTTTTCAGTAAAACAGTGCGCACCTGTGGAAGGTAATAAGTTGAGGAAGTTGACAGAGAGAGAGAGAGAGAGAGAGGGGTAGATTTGAAGTGTTTTATATATAACATATAATCAAATTTATAGTGCTGACGCGCATACTCACCTCACCATTTAGGAAACAATATATCAAGGCAATGAAAAATCCTTGAAATGAGGTTAGAAAATGCGTTACATATGACCAGATGGCGAATTTCCACGGTGGCTTCAGGTTCAATGCAGGTACTTGGTACAATAGATTTGTTATGCCCAACAGTGGTAGGAGCACGATGGCCGCACGTACCGCTTTGCGCGTCTGCTCGATATCGCTTGCCTGACTCTGACGCAGCTTCATGACGAGCACGCGTATTATGTTCATGAGGAAGAAGAAGTTGAGCTAAAGCAGGTGTGAAGGTAAAAAGTTATTTGCTAAAAATAATGAATTTTATTCGATTGGATAATGCGGCCTACCAGTATGACTATCAAACGTGGTCCTTCCAATATCCAATAGTACGGCGTCAAGTTGTAATTCCACAGGCAGTCATGGGCGCTATCCGTAAACATGGCCGTACATATCGCCCAGACGGTGGTCATTAGCACGGGTAGACCCCAACCGAGTAGCGAAAAGATCGTATGCGGAAAACGTCCCTGAAATACGGCTACCGTCACCATATTGTGCAGGTACAGACCCTCGATGAACATCCACATGAACATGGCGGTGCGAGCGTACTCGAGTAGTACGTAGGAAGCCTCGCAGAGGTAGGGCTGCGGCGAGAACAAAAAGAGAGAGAGGGCGAGAGAGAGAAGAGAGAGAGAGAGAGAGAGAGAGAGTTATATTCAGCAAGTAATTAAGAGATTTTTCAGGTTTTCTTAAATATTTTTAACTTATGATGAAAGCTTAGAGAAAATTTTGTTTTAAAAGCTTTCATATAGTGAAAGCTCAAAAAACTTTAAATCTTTAGGCTTTTTATTAGTGATAGTTTTTCATTTAAATCTTAAGCGTTATTTCAAAAAATGTTAGCTTCGAAAAAGTCTCTTACCGTATTCTCAATTCCCGCCGCACTTGTATTCGCCGTCGCCGGTTGACTACCCCGCCGAAATGCCTGATCCAGATATAGCGTCAGTCGTACGATCACTTGGCAAACCATGGCGATGAAGAGATTCTTATGGATTTTCGTGCGATTATTACGTAGCGAGGAGAAATTACAAAATATAATGAGCGACACTATCAAAGCGATCAGCGAGAGTATGAGACCGACTATTTCTAATGTGCGCGTACGACGTGCAATATCCAGGAAGATCTGTGTGTGTGGAAGGGGGGAGAAAATTTAATTGTTTTTAAATGTTTTTTCAAAATTTTTTGATGTACATTTATTTGGTCAAAATTTTTTTTTCAATTCTAATTTCATTTTTTATTTATATTTTTAATTTAAAATAATTAATTTTTTATGTTCACATTTTTTTTTCTAACTTTTTGTTTCATTTTAATTTTTTTTTTTTATAAATAAATTTTTATTTTTATAATGTTTAATTTTTTTTTAAACATATTTTGCATATTTTAATTTAAAATTTAAATTTAAATTTTTTTTAAATTCAATTTTAGCTGGTTTTAATTTTTTAATAATTATAAATATATTTTCAAATTTTTTTGTACGCACATCGATATCCTCTACACGCTGCAGCATCTCATTCACTTCCGGCTTGAAACAGGGCTGATAGTCCGTCCAGCCGTTCGTGTGATTCTGTGTGTCGTTCGGACGTCGGCCCCAGGTGCCGTCCAGCTCGCACTTGCGATTGGCGAACTCTGTGAGAGAGGAAGAGACAGAGGGAGAGCATAAGAATTTTTTTTAAATATTAAATTTTCTTTCCCAAAAATATATACAAAAATTAAATTTTAAAGCCTTTTTTGCAAAAGATAAAAAATATTTTATGCTCAAATCGATTATCGGCGCTCCAATGCGCATTTAGCTCATTTTCTCTGTCATTTTAACGCCCATTTTCCACTTAAAATTGAAATTTCAAGCCTAAAGATTTTTTTCGATTCTTTTTGCTTTGTTGTATTTGTTTTTTGTGTTTATAAAAATAGCCCCTCAACCTTCGGCCACCAATGCAATTAAGTTAAAATTCCGACACTTTGAGTGCCAATGTGTTGCATGAATAAATCAAACGAAATTACGCACATTTTTTCAATTACTTTGGCAGCTGTACTGGCGGCAGGTGGCATGCAACGTGAGCGAGTGTGGCTGCCACAATAATCAAAAGCAAGTGAGACGTGCAGAGTGGGAGGGTGTTTCGACGTTTAACTTGCGATGTCTGCCATTTAATGCTTCACGCTTTATAGTGGTGAAAAGGAGAAGAGAGGTAAAAGCATAGGGAGAGTTTTGGTTGTTGTTCGTCGGTTTATGTTGCAGGTGGCAAATATAATGAGTTGCAAGCGAAAGAGGGAAATGGAAAATCATTTAAATGCATTTCACTTTTGTCAGCCACAAATGGCTTTTAATTGTATGTTATGCTTGTATAAGCATGTGTGGGTGTGCATTAGATTGCGTTTTTTATTTTTTATTTTTTTTTTATTGTTTTTTATTTGCATGTTCTTGTTCGTTTTAAGTATTTTTCGGTTTTGTATAAGCGATTACATACAAATTTCATATTCGAAAACATTTCCAAATCAGTTTTGAAGCTTCGCTTCGCACACTGAACAACACATTTGATATGCTTAATGAGGGCGAAAGTGCACATGGGAGTCGTTTAAGCGTAAATATTAATATTATACAGTGAGTTCAGGAAATTTTTTATGCAAAAGTTTTAACAAAAATTGAAATGTTTTCAAATTACCCTAAAATAGAATTTGTAAGAAATAAAAACAAAAATTAGAAATAAAAAAATATCAGAAAACTTTCTGCAAAAGCTAAAACTCGATAGTTACTAAGCAGAATTTAACCCTATATTTTACATATATATATATATATATATACCAATTTTTATTTAATTTTTCTGTTGCGGATGCCAATAAAATGTTAAACGAAATTACAATATTTATAGTTCTGGAGCATTTTTTCCACTGGCGGAAAACCGTTTGAAAGTAATGAAAAATTGACTAATGAATATGAGCAGCGCCTGTGGGTATGCTTCAATTTTCTGATAATTTTCACTAAACTCACTTCTCTGTTGAAAATCTTATAAGCTATTATTCTATTATGGCTTTCAAGCAACAAACAAAAACGAAAACAAGAAAAAATACAACAAAAATTTAATGGAAATCAAAAATGAAATTAAAATTACAAATATCTATATTAACGCTGTTTTACTATAATTTTGAGTATAAAAACGAAAAAAAGACACTATGAAATTATAAAAACAGACAACGTAAAAAAAAAATAAATAAAATAAAACAAATTAAAATAAATAAAATAAAATAAAAAAATGAAACACAATAAAATTAAAAAATATAATTAAAAATAAATAAAATAAAATACTAAAAAATATATAATAAAATATTTTAAAGAAAATAACATAATATAAAATAAAATAACTAAAATAGAATAAAACAAAAAAAAAATAAAGTATAATTAAAAAAAAATAGGATTAAGAGAAAAAAAATAAATCAAACAAAAAAATAAATAAAATAAAAATACCAACATAAAATATTTTAAATAAAATTAAGTAATTTAAAACAATATGTTAAAGAAATGAATATATAATTAAAAAAAAAAGAATAAATTAAAATAAAAAAAAATAGAATATTAAAAAATATCAAAAAAAAAATATAAGAAAAAAATTAAATAAAACAAGTTTGGTTTGTAAAATTAAAACAAAATAAGTTAAAATGAAAAAAAAAAATAATAAAAAATGCAATTTTGATATACCCACTCTGTGTGATTTCCAATTACTTAATTGATTGAATATCCTACAATCAACTGTAATTTGATTCGCTAACTAATTTACCTGAAGGCTAACAAACAATTGACTTTTCAAATAAACTGGGTCAATATGCGCAAACACATTCCACATACACTTATTTACACACACTCATATGTATATATATACATATGTATTCACTGTATTCACTCACTTGTTGTGTCAATGCCATGCCCGACGGGCGGACAATGCATACGCGCCAAAACGCCAGCCGGTGTTGGGGGCCAGCAGAGGAACAGATCCCATGTCCAATTGCAGAAAACGCCTGTAAATATATATATAAAATAAAAATTAATTTGCCTTTGAGTACCAGTTGAAGAAATCGAAAAGTGAAAGCCAAAATAATTGATTGTTGCACTTGAGTTTTAATTGATAAATGCTATTTCACATACAAACACACACACATATATATACTGTACATATGTGCGCAGGTGTAGTGTCTATTAATTATTAGAAGATTTTTACCACGAATTCTAATTAAATTTATTTACTAAGCGTGCATTTAATTTTTTAATGACTTTCAGAGGGGGGAAAAATAAAAAAATGTGAAACAACAAAAAATCGGTATTAATTGGAAATTTTAGCCACACAAACACATTTTCACAACTGCTTAATTGGTTTAATTCGCCGCAAGTTATGTGGATATTTTTAACACTGATGCATTGTTGTTTTTATTTTTTTTGTACGCTAATTTCTACGCACTCTTCGCATTATTCAGCATTTTTTGTAATCGAATTTTTTCGACATAAATATTTCATAAAGTAGAAATTGGCAAATTATTTAAATTAATATTTACTTAGGTGTCTATAGGTTAACAATTACATAAATAAAAGCCTTTTACATACAAACATGTACATATATGTATGCGTGTGTATGATTCAAGGTTGAACTGAACTCAATTTGATTGGATTGTCCATGCGTTAATGTCTCTGCTAATCACTTCTAATTCTACGATTAAATAGATTATCAGTGGTATTATTGCTAACTGTGTTAAAAACGGTGTGTTTGTGTGTGTGAGTGTGCGCATGTTTATGTAACAAATGTATAAGAGTATCATTTGCAGTTTAACCGCTTATTAAAAATAATGATTTTCAAAGCGAAAAAAATATTCAAAATATTTATTTAATATCATTAATTAGGAGGAGCGCAAAATATATATTAAAAGCATAATGTGCATATTATTATTTAAATAATATCGATGACTTATTTCTTTTTATTTATTTTATTTCATTTTATTACATTTTATTTAATTTAAATTAATTCAAAGCAGTGCACTTATTTTAATTTTTTCTTTCAGTTTACTTTATTCCAATTTATGCTGTTTCATTTTTCTCTAATTCCATTCAATTTGTTATTTAATATTTATTTTTTATTTTTTTATTTAATTTTATCTATTATTCTCTTGTGTTTTTTGCTATTTTATTATATTCGCGTTATTTTTTTTTTTAACTTTATTAATAATAATTTTTTTTTGGTTAACATTAAATATTATTTTTAATTTCATAACATATTTGAATTCACTTTTTTTGGCTATATAATATTTTATTTTATTTTGCTTCTCTTTAATTTAATTTTACTTATATTTCATAACCAAGTATTTTTTTAACTTATGTTTTATATAATTTTATTTGAAATCAATGCCATTTTATTTTACACATGTTGTTTTCGATATTTATAATTTTTGTATTTCGTTTAAGGTTTTTTGTTTAATTATTATTATTATTATTTATTGTTTTATCTCTTTATATAAAATTCTTTAGGTTTTTATGTTATTATACACTATTTAACATCCTATTTAATTATAATTAATTTGAGTACACTGAGCCCCTAAACGCAAGCATGCAATACACTTCAATAGCTCTTTGTACCATTTGGAACAGTAGCGCCTTTGGTTAGGCTACAATTTTCAATTCATCTCTCTACCACTCAAAAGTTTTCATCTCTGAGTAGTTAATATCCTGGACTACTATTTTATTTACTTAACCGTTTGCCCTTGAAATCAAGCAATACATTTACAAATCGATTTGCTTACACACACTCACACAAACACCCATATGTATATGTAAGCGTGCATCACTGCAGTGCATTACACAATTATCCGCAGCTGCCGTTGCCGTTGGCTGCAGGCAGTCCCTCTCTTATTTACATTTATACTAAAAATTTAATTTTCTATATTTGATTGAATTTTGTAATGCCATCAGTGAAATTGAGTAAAAAGGCGGAGAGATTTTTTTTCTTTAATTTACAATTTTTTTTATACATATATTTTTCTGCACTTTGATGTAACACTATTTGCTATGCTCATCTCCGAGCTAGCCAGCAGTTGTAGCTAAAAAAAAATATAAAAATTGAAATGAAACTAAATTATATAAAATCCATTACAATTATATTTATACCTGCCCTCCAGTGTGTTCAGAAAAACGTTTCATGCATATCAATGCAAATTTATAAATATACGTGCACGTGAGTGTGTTGTTGGAAATTATCCTCACATCAAAACATCACATCATCATCATCATTTGCTCGGTTTTGTGCAGCTGTGCGCTTTTGCATTCACATTTTACGCTTTGCTTCATAAACTAGACACGTGCGCTTGTCAATCTCACTTGTCAACAAATATGCATGCTAATACATATATATATATATATATATAAATATATATATATATATATATATCAAAAGCATTTATATATAAATATGTTTTAACACACAGCAGCAGGCAGAGATCAAACTTTATTTATTTAATTTTTAATTTAATTTAATTTAAATTTTATTTTATTTTTATTTATTTTTTTTATTTTTTTATTTCATTTTATTTTATTCCAATTTTTTTATTTAAATTTATTTTATTTAAATTAAGCTATTTAAATATATATTGTTTAATTTTATTTTTTTATGTAACATAATTTTCTATTTTAAATTAATTTATTTTTTTTTTCAATTTAATTTTTTTTTTACTTTATTTTATTTAATTTTATTTTATACTGTATTGTTTCATTTTATTTTAATTATTATTTATTTATATATTATTATATTATATATATATATATATATATTATTTATTTTATAAGTTTTTTATTTTGTTTTTATTTAATTTATTTAGATAAATTGATTTTTTAATTGTTTTTATTTAACTTTTTTAAACTTTTTTTTTACTTTATTTTATTTAATTTCATTTTATATTATTATCTTTTTATTTTATTTACTTTTAGTTTATATTCTTTATTTTGTTTTTTTGTATGCAATTCAATTTTATTTAATTTTAGCTATTTAATTTTATTTTGTTTAAATTATCTTTATTGATGTAAGTTGAACTTTTAATTGCATTTTATATAATTTGTTTAATTTATTTTATTCAATTTAATTTTTTTTGCAATTTAATTTAATTTTATTTTACTTTATTTTATTTTNTAATTTTATTTTATTTTATATTATTTTATTTTATATCATTATATATATTATTTTTCTTGCCATATATTATTGCATGTGCTTGGATATATGTATGTTTTTTGCAATTGAATTTATATTTCATATATTTATTTCGATGTGTGTTTGGCTGTGTGGCTGCCCTTACACGTCTGTATTATCTTCTCTTTACTTTTGATTTATACGCATGTTTGGACTGCATTTACATGTGATTTTATGCACACACACACACACACACACATGCACACGTCCATATATATATACCCATATCAAGGGATCAACCTTTGGCTTACCCTCGCATGCATTTGTCGTTTTGGTCTTAACAAGTTTTGCTGGTTTCTGAAAATTCCTTTAAACTGAGAAATTGTGTTGTTGTACACTTTGTTAAATATATATATATTTAAATAAATGTGTACACATGTATATAGCTCAAGCATGTGAAAATATATTTAAATATATGTATACATACATATATACATTTGATTGCATTTCTCTGCTTTCTATAATCTCAATCGATCAGCGTGTGCAGTTTTATATAATCTTCGCTTTATACTTTGCTGGTCTTCTTCCTCTCTTCGCTATCACTGCTTTAATTTCCCTCATAAAAATCTTCACTTAAAGCCAACTAATGTTTATATAACTTTAAATTATGCAATTTTGTTGCTTGATCGTGCGCATGTGGCACGTGCTACTAGCAGATTAGGGGTTAGTGTCGCCTATAGAGAGTGTAGAGAAGAAAGTTCGGCACTTATTTCCACGAAAAAGTAAATGCTTTAATCTTCTTTGATGCATTTTCTGAGAAGAAATACCAAGAAAGGTGACTTTCAGAGGCAGACCTTTCTTTCATTTCACCTTCATTTACTCACATTCCGAGAGAACATGAAGGCTTTTAACTTTCTTAATTACAAAAATAATTTGCTACGGAAAACTCGTCCAGTAGACCAGCTGAGCTCTTAACTGCTGCTTATAAAAGCTAACTAATTTGGTACTGATATTTATGTAAAAAATTTCTCGATATATTTATTTTGTAAGCTCTCTGGGAAGGGAGATCTAGTGGGGTATAGTAGTAGAAATTCTTCCCTTACAAAACTCTCTTAAATAGCGCAAGCTGCCATAAAATTGAAGATGTCTCTCAGATCACGTAAGAACTTGGATTCAGAGGAAGCAGCCATCCGCAGCAGTACTGAAAACCCTCTAAGGCCGGCTACTTGGTGGGTGAACCATCGTATCGTACATTTATACCAAAAAGTCGATTCTTGTAGTGCCCACCAGGATTAATTTCCATCTTAATTATGAAGGCTCTCTTCGATTCGTTTAGTAACAAAAAACTGTTTCAGACAAGTTGATTTTCTGTCATTCAGTAACAACCGTACGACCTTTGACGCTTTGTAGCCTCTGAAGCGATTTTCGACTGAGCTTCTCCTCTAATTTGTGGTATGCGTCTTTATGTTTTTCAAACAAAGTGATGGACGTACACGAACCGGATTTTCGTGAGGGGCTTTGAGTTTTATGCCAGAAATACTCTCGAAGGGTTTGACATTTCCTGCCGAACCCGGGCCGTTCGAATGGCAGTACACAATGCTAACCACTCCACTAACCGCTGAATAATATGAGCTGCAATGCTAGATAGAGAAGGTACTCTACTCCACAGGTGCTCTTTTCGGCTGAGAAGACAAAAATCTTCTCTCGACAAACAAAAAACCAGCTCTGAATGGATTAAAAAACTCCAGGTTTGAAAGTTTCCAATGCATTACCCACTGAATTAAGTGGAGGTAAGAGGAAAATAAATTCCTTAATTACGGTTGAAAGATCGATTAGAGAAGGTACTGGCCCCCTAGA